GCCAAGGTTCCCTCCCCCCCCCCCTGATTTAAATGATGACTTTCTAACCATTTTGCCATTTTCTTTGACCAGCCAATAACCTGAGGGACCCCAAACACCTCCAGAGCTGGCCCTGATCCAGAGCATTTGAACTTTTAACCACAAGGAGTCCCTTTCTATGTTTCCAAGGAAGCACTGCAGCTTTTCTTCTGGTGTATTGTGAGAATCTGGCTCTTTTTGTTTGGCTCTTGTGGGACTATTTCTATGCTGGGAATTCTGGGAGTTGAAGTCCCCAAATCTTAAGGCTGCCAAGACTGGACACCCCTGGAATAGAGTGCAATGAGGCAGATGAACAGTAGGCCACACAGAGTCTGCCCATTACAGTCATAAGTCACGATAGTTGTAAAGCAGATCACCCCTGTGACCAACCCAATTTTACAACCTTGTAAAAGTGGTGCTCCAGTTGTTTTGGGATTGTACCCAAGGAGCCTATTACTATTACTAATAAATAATTTTATAATAATTTTATAATAATTTTAGTAAAAATTCTGGGAGTTGAAGTCCACATGCCTTAAAATTGTCAAGGTTGAGAAACTAGCACATAAACCTGCCCAGTTATATTCCGAATCCTTAAAATCTCTTATATACAAGGGCTCCTCTAAGATATTCTTTTCACCAAAATAATGCAAATTCTCACAATTTAGTATTGATTCTGCTGGCCATTTATCTAAACAAGTGAGGATAAAATGTTCTAAGTGCATCCACGTGCCATTGATCTGACGGTCTTACTCAACCTCCCTCTAAAATGAGAGATACCATAGTGCATGAATCAGAAAGAAGACAAACGACTCTTACTATTCAGCCCCAAAAGTGCAGCCAAATCACGCTCCTAATTCAAACCCATAACCTCCACATTACTCATGGCCAGAAAGACCTTTTATTCAATAGTGTTCAATTCTTGCACCATTCAAAAGAGCTTTAAAAGAACATTGTAAAGCTCAGGTTTATTGGCTGCTTCCACAAATCTTTATTGTAGTTTGGCTTCCATCCTTTCAGGAATAAATATTTCCAGAAAAGAGATTCCTAGAGACTCAGAATAAATTTTTCTTGGCTTTGAACTTGCACGTACAGGTTACCCCAAACCATCCTTTCCAGACGAAGCATGTTTTCCTTCGTCATTCAGAAAAGTGTTCTTCTGCTATCTAAACTTTGGATTAAAAAAAAAAAAAGTAGTCCAAGCTCTGGCCAGTTTTGTTGTTGTTAGTAGCAAAGTTGCGTCCGACTGATCATGACCCCATGGACAACGTTCCTCCAGGCCATCCTGTCCTCTACCATCTTCTGGAGTCCCTTTAAGCTCACACCTACTGTTTCAGGGACTCCATCCAGCCACCTCATTCTCTGTCGTCCCCTTCTTCTATTGCCCTCCATCTTTCCCAGCATCAGGCTCTTCTCCAGTGAGTCCTTCCTTCTCATTAGGTGGCCAAAGTACTTGAGTTTCAACTTCAGGATCTGGCCTTCTAAAGAGCAGTCAGGGTTGATCTTCTCTGGGACTGACTGGTTGGATTGTCTTGCAGTCCAGGGGACTCGCAGGAGTCTTCTCCAGCCCCAGAGTTCAAAGGCCTCCATTCTTTGGCGCTCAGCCTTTCTTATGGCCCAACTTTCACAGCCATACATTGCAACTGGGAAAACCATGGCCTTGACTATATGTACTTTTGTTGGCAGGGTGATGTCTCTGCTTTTTAGTATGCTGTCTAGATTTGCCATAGCTTTCCTCCCCAGGAGCAAGCGTCTTTTGATTTCTTGGCTGCAGTCCCCATCTGCAGTGATCTTGGAACCCAGGAAGATAAAATCTATCACTACCTCCATTTCTTCCCCATCTACTTGCCAGGAATTGAGAGGGTTTTCTTTTCCTATTCCAACCAGCCTGAACCAGCAACCATCAGCCTGTCTGACTTCCCTTCAACTTCCTGAGGTCACTGTTGGCAGCCTGCCTGTAGATTTTAATTTTAAATGGCACTAATGCCCGGTCTCCGTGCGCGAGGTTTGCACTTGCATTCACACCGTCAGGCATTGTGTCATTCTGACTTGGCATAGAGTGTCCTCTAGGACGGCACGTGGTGTGCAGCTTTTCAGCAAAATGAGGGTGTGACTACTAGGCGGGGGAATCCTTCCTTTAAAACATCGCTTTGTGGAAGAAATCTGGCCTTGAAACATAGATACTGCCTCTGAATTCTGCTGGGGACAATGGAAATTTGAGCAGAATTGGATTATCTCAGGGGACTTCAGACTTGGCCCTTTTATGACTTGTGGACTTCAACTCCCAGAATTCCTCAGCCAGGCATGCTGGCTGAGGAATTCTGGGAGTTGAAGTCCACAAGTTATAAAAGGGCCAAGTTTGAAGACCCCTATATTATCTTGTACCTCCCCCCCAAAAAAACAGGTGAAAAGCAACTGAAATTAGCAGTCTGTTTGTCTGTCTGTCTGTCTCTCTCTCTCTCTCTCTCTCAGTCCTTCAGACTGCACCCCACCCACATTTTTTCACTTTTACATCTGAGAATCCACTTGGACCATTCAGTGAAGCAGGTAAAAAGAGAACACGGAGCTTAAGGGTTTTTCCAACTTTTTTTTTCTGGTTAACTTGAGTTATACTGTTTCCAAACATGGAGGTTCCATTGAACGGTGCAACTAATGCCTATTCACCCATCACATCTCCAGGAATGAATTTCTGTCTGCTTCCTAATCCCCTTACCACCCTACCTTAAAAGACATTTTCATCTTGGGAAGATCCCTTCTTGAAAATATTAAGTCCAGATCTAAAAAGTGACTTAACCAGCTGGAGAAGAGAAGCCCATCCCTTAATCTATTTAATCGAGTTACTGAATTCACCACCATGTAGAGAGGGAGAATGGATTTACGAAAGATGGGGAAGAGTTTCAAGACGTGCAAACGTTGGCAGGAAGGCTAGGAATAGTGTGTGGTCTCTTAACAGAAGGAAAAGTTTGTTGAATGAAGCAAAAATGCCCGTGAAAAGAATTTGCTCAGTGGAAGTCAGAGTTGGGTCTGCCAAGAGCTAATAGGTGTTTCCTTTGCTCCCTGTTTACCACTCCTCAACTCTGCCCACAAAATATTTCATTTGCTCAGCTAGTCCAGCATGTGGAATGCAGCAGTGAGGGCAGTTATGGGCTTGCCTCAGTGTGTCCATGAAACACACTGCTTTGGTTGCCAGGTTACTTCTGGTTGAGATTTACTACCTGGAAAAGCCCCTACATGGCACAGGGCCCATTGACTTTCAGGATGGCTCCCACAGCGCACTCTGGGTTCCTTTGATTATTCCTTAAGCCAGGGGTGTCAAACTCAATTTCATTGAGGGCCGCATCAGCATTGCGGTTGCCCTGCGGGGGTGTGTGTGGCCAGAGTGGGTGCAGCCTACTGGGTGGGCGTGGATGGAGTGGGTGTGGCCTACTGGGTGGGCATGACCAGTTCTACATCATTCGCGTCAAGGGTGCCTGTGGGGGCCTGGGCAGGACAGATCTGAGGGTCTCTGGCAGAAAGGGGTGGGACCAGGGCAAGTACCAAGGCGTGGTCTACCAGGGCAAGTGCCAAGATGGCCACCACAAAATTGTACATTAGCTCCCGGCCAGCCTGGGCCAGGGCCAAGGCAGCGGGAGCCGTTCCCTCACTGTTTCCAGGATGGCTTCACGGGCCACATGAAACCACTTTGTGGGCTGCATCCGGCCCCCGGGCCTTGTGTTTGACATGTCTGCCTTAAGCTTTCAATTAAACCATATCCTTCATCAGAATCCCAGCAGGGCACCTTCTCTGCAGCAACCCTTGCACTCTGGAACAAGGTTCCCCCACCCCCAAGATCCAGATGGGCATCTCCCTGCTGTTATTTACAAGTGCCAAGAAGACCGGGCTCTTCCCCTTGGCTTTGGGAAGGAACAGTGGCACCCTTTGCTTCATTGTCCTTGCCGTTTTCTACCAGTCGTGCTGCAATTTATTGTTGTAAACTGTCTGGAGTCACTGGCCCTATACATTTTCTTAAATAAATACATTGCTTTATTTTGATTATTAGGCGCTGTCCAGAGTCATTAGGAGTTAAGCAGTATATAGGATATATATGCATGTTTGGTCTAGTGCAGGGGTCCCCAATCCCTGGGCCGCAGCCAGCTTACACAAATGCAGCGGCGCACATGAGCGCATATGCCTGCTGCTTGCACGGAACCATCCCCCCTCCCTTCCAATACTTGAGGGGCTGCCCCAAAGAAGAGGGAGTCAAGCTATTCTCCAAAGCGCCTGAAGGCAAGACAAGCAACGGATGGAAACTCATCCAGGAGAGAAGCAACCTAGGAGAAACTTCCTGACAGTTAGAACAACTAACCAGTAGAACGACCTGCCTTCAGAAGCGGTGAGTGCTCCAACATGGAAGTTTTTAAGAAGAGACTGGACAGCCATTTGTCTGAAATGTGATAGGGTTTCCTGCCTGAGCAGGGGGTTGGACTAGATGACCTCCAAGGCCCCTTCAAACTCTACTATTACTGCTGCTACTGCTGCTGTTCTTCTTCTTCTTCTTCTTCTTCTTCTTCTTCTTCTTCTTCTTCTTCTTCTTCTTCTTCTTCTTCTTCATCATCATCATCATAGCTGTCAGCCAGATGTTGTTGTTGTTGTTGTTGTTGTTGTTGTTGTTGTTGTTGTTGTTGTTGTTATTATTATTATTATTATTATTATTATTATTATTATTGCCATTGGGGAGGTTCACGCGATGCTCCTTCCACTTGTAGAACGTCCACAAGATACGCAGGGACTATAAAAACCGTTGCGGTCGCCATCCTGACTTTTGTGACCGTCTCCTCAGCAGCAGCTTAACGCAGCTGCAGCGGTTTCCAGGAGGAGCCGAAGTTGCAGAGCGGCTGCTTCGAGCGGCTTGCAGCGGGCGAGGCTGGCCCCGAGCCGCCCTCCGGCAGGAGCCTCGGATTCGTCCACTGGATCCCAGGAGCGAGCCCAGTCAGCCTGCCTATCCGCCCGCCAGCCCTACCTGACTCCCTCGCTCGGGGCTCCGGAGTAGGCAGGAAGGGAGGGCCCGAGGGAGGGGAGGTGGGCTGGGAGTCCCCGGCTCCATATAAGGACGAGGGCCGGGACGGCGAGGGGAGAGGGACGCGCGCCTGCGACGCCTGACTTTGGCCCGAGCAGAGGCGGAGAGACCGGCCGCTCCGTTTGCGCAAAGGCGCGCCAGGTAGAAGCGTTTCCGCGGGGCAAAATTCTCTCTCTCTCTCTTTCCCTCCCTCCCTCCTTCCCTCTTCCCACTTCACTTTCTTTCCTTGTCGCCTTCTCCACCTGGCTTCCTCTGAGGCTTACAGGCAGGTTAGGGTCGGGGGGCCGGGGATGATGGGCAATGCAGTCCCAGGAGCCGGGAGGAAGAGGAAGGCAGGGCGCCCCAGATTTTGGGTGGGGGTGGCACCCGCTGATGCTCCCCGCTTCGAAAGGTGAGAAGGACATCGCCCTCCCAGAGATGTCAAGTCGTCTTTTGGGTCGGCATCTTCTTACCCACTTCCCAATCCAAAAGGAGAACTCCTTTGCAAGGAGAGCGGTGTTAATTTACCTGGGAAGAGGGGGAAAAAAAAGAACCGAGGCGTGTCTGACAGCACCGTTTCCCCCCCCCCCCAGATACATTTTATTAAAAGGCACAAACTTTTAGGAACTGCCCCTCGCAGAGGCATCTGGTGAAGCGAGCAGAGAGCCGATGCGTTTTTTAATAAAATGAGGAAAGGTGCTTCCATTGCAAAGTTTTCTGATTGGGACTCCCCCACCCCCAAAGCTGAAATCTCTGTTCCTTCCTGAGCTTTGAAGGTGTGGTCTCTTGGCTGGAGTCAAGCATGCCTAACCACGCCACTTTAAAGAAACAAAACAGCCCCCCCCCCAAAAAAAAACTACTTTTGCTTTTTTTTCCCCCTGCCATATGCCAAGCTTGGGGAATATGAACTGTTTGGGTTTTTTTTTTTTTTTTTTTTGAGATAGCTGCACGCCTTGTGTGAACTCCAGCAATTTGGATGGTTCGGGTGATTCTCCTTCCAGAAAATGGGTTAATTCAGAAAGCAGGTGAAGGGCAGTGTGTGAACACAGCCCTGGTGTTTGATCAAGCGGCACTGGCTTAAGTGGGCACAGCAGGTGATTAAAATGCAGAACAGGCAAGAAAGAATGCAGTGCTACTTCTTGCCAGCGCAATATTGGAAAAGGCGTTTCTACAAGAATAAAAATGAGAGGTTATTGGAACTCTCTGAGCTTGCTTGCTTTCTTGCAGACGTTTCATTATACCCAAACTAGGTAGTGGATGATGTTACATAGTTTGGGTAACCAAACATCTGCAAGCTCAGAGAGTTGCAATAACCTCTCATTTCAACCTTGAGCAACACATATTCTCCATTATTGATTAAAAATGCCTCGTGCATTTCTTTAAGACTCAGGAGTACTGAAATAAAAGGATGGATTGATTGAGCAGTCCACTAATCAGCCCTAGATGATGATGGACTTGATTTTTATCCCCTTTCTGCCAGAGGAAGCTTGTCAAGCTCTAAAAAAAAAAAAAAGGTTAGGAAAACCATTTTGGAAAGAATACCTTTACCTTTCTCCCAAGGTGACAGACGTGGCATGCAAAGCATTTTAGAAGGGCATTGCTCCATTTTATAGACAATTTTCCCAGTGCTATTCTGAAGCTTCAGAATTTTATTATTATTGTTATTATTTTAAAAAATCCATATTAGTTAAGCATTCAAGTAGAGTTGTACTCTGAGCACTGAGACTGATTGGCACGTATTCAGCTTAGAACGTGCGGCTGAGGTTTGCGTTTGGGTGGCTGTCCAGGCATGGATTTCCTTCATCCGGTGTAACTGGGTGGGGCGGCAACAGACCTTTTGACTAGATGGTCACTAACGCAGCTTTTACAACTCTACAAACCGTCCTTGGGTTACCAGAGGGATCTGGGATCTAGTAGATTAGGAATGTCTTCTGGGATCGTTGCATACCCCTGGCGCCCCTGTCCAAAGGCTTCTGAAATGAGATGAAAGAAAGAAGCTTGGACACACCTCTGAAGCTAGAGAGACCCCACAGTTCACACAGCTGTTCAGGGCAGATAAGGCACATGTGTGTAAAAGCAAGCCTGCCTTGGACTTTGCTGGAAGAGGTCAGGGAGCAAAGTTAATCAAAAATGAAACTCGAAGCTCAGTGGGACAGCCTCGCATCCCGGAAGACCGAGTGAAAGGTGCACGGGAAAAGACAGAGGAAATTCCTTCCTTGGCTTTTGACCTCCGGCTCCTTCCTTTGGAGTTGGTGGCCAGCGCTGCTGCTGCTGCTGCTGCTTTTGGAAATGATGATCTGCTGCATTGCTGCAGGCTGAGATCATCCAAAAGATCTTCATTCCTGGAGAGGTGAAGGTTTGGGAGAGTTGCAATAAGCTTCCAAAGGGCGGGAGAGGTTTCCCTGGCAAAGGGGTGGAGATGGTGGCACATGATGTCCGAAGCAGGGAACAGAGCAGGGATTTTAAGGCCCCAATTTTCTTCTGTAGGAACCCCCCCCCTTGCGGGTTTATTTGGGAGTTCTAGGTTTGTATTTTCCCCCTTTTTGATTAGTTCACACGCACAAGAGAAAAAACTTCCAGAGAAGAAGCTATATATGTGTAGTGTTAGCGTCTAGCTCCCTGGGAAGAAAAAGTGAAAACCATTTGACATTGGCTGGGTTTCCACAACTTGACAGACCAGGTGAAAACAGGATTGAGTAGTCTGGGGCTCAGGGTGTTGTGAGACCCCTGGCCTTATTTCAGCATGTTGTGTGAAGCAGATCATCTTTGGCTCGTAGAGCAGATAAATGAGCTGGATAACCTCTAGGCGTCCCTCAATCATAGTCCTGGTATAGTTGAAGAAGATATTGTAGCATCCTGGGATTCTTCTCATCCCCACTTAGCAAAGAATCAGAGTTGGGGCCTGCCCACTTAGTATTGGCAGGACAATAGGAGCAGAGGGTCCAACCCCCAACCCATCTCTGCCTTTAAGTTTACCTGAAATAATTCACCACAGACTGACTGCTCGGTTGAGCTTTGGACCAGCCAAAGTGGGAAAATGTCACTTGTGAAGTGCAGCAAGGAAAGATGTGGATGTGGCTGTGGCAATGTGGACATGGGGTGGCCCTTAACCAAATCTCCTTTGCAGACTAAAGTGAGAAACTGAAGGAGCCTAAGAGTCATGGAATTAACTTGCTTCTGAGTCTCCACTGATGTGGGATGGTTATCCTTTCCCCTCCCAATTCAAGTGAGCTCTTTCAGGTCGAGAGTTCAAACTTTTTGCTTGCTTTTCTCCATTCTGGGTGGCCATGTAAACAGGACAATGTCCCGGACACAATCTTTGCTCCTGAGAGCTGGCTAGGAAGGCTGTGCTCAGGAGACACGGTGGGGCCAGCAATAGACATGACAATGTAACAGAAATTATTTAGGCCAGATTTGGAATTTTATAGGTAAAACACTCACAAACACTTACCCATGCTAAGGTGCTACAAAAGGGCAGGACAAGCGACTCCAAGAGGGACTTGAAGAATATTTGGAAAGAAGCAAAGTTATTCTTGACCTCAACTCCTGGTGTCTTCATGCGCTGTTGGGAAACTCCCAGTCAGGCAAAGAGGAGGGATCAAACAGGGAGTTAGTCTTGAGTTGTTGCATAGCAGCAAGAGGCTTAGGATTGATACCCCCTAAGTTCCATGGGTCCTTATCTGTTTATTCCCAAGACAGGGCAAGTAATCTGGAGTGATTCATATTATAGTTGGGTACAATAAAGCTGAACCCTTCAGATTTGGATCTGGGTGCTTGTTTCTGACATGGACACCTTCATGTAGTTTTGATGACTGTAGTACACAAGGGATGGGCTAGTGCTATCTTCCAGGTACTTAGTTCCCCTATTATCCTGGGATTTCTAATTCAAGTGAAAACCAGGGGTAGAGGAAAGAGGAAATGGCCTTGAGGGACAGGAGGAAAAATCACTACCAAGACATTGTCCAGATAAAAGAAACCTGAGTTTGAACAGGAATGTAACCTAAGGAAGCACCTCACACAAGACCCTTCCTAATTCTCACAAAAATAAAGGGGAAGGGAGGGGAAAGCACGTTCAGACAGAAAGATTCTGTTCCTATAGTTTTACAGCAAAAGTAGTTCTGACCTGCATGATAGTGAATTTCTAGTCCAGTGTTTCCCAAACTTGACCATTTTAAGGCATGTTCTAGTCTGATCTATCTTGAAGGATTTACCTCAGGTTGTATGTGATTATAGTTAGCAAAATTCCTAGCTTAGGAAAATGTTCGGTCTCTGATGACCCAGTTTTGTTGTTAGTTGCAAAGTCGTGTCCGACCCATCGTGGCCCCATGGACAATGTTCCTCTAGGCCTTCCTTTCCTCTACCATCTCCTGGACTCCATTTAAGCTCACGCCTGTTGCTTCAGGAAAAATCAATGTTTCTCCTAGTGCTTTCCAGCATACCGATGGTGCAATTCATCTCCTTCCAATGGGAGTCTGTTCTTAGCAGACCGGGCTAGGTGGAAAGGAGACGTTGTGCTATGTGATTCCAGATGTATTTGTCTCCTCTCTCCAGAACCTCTGAGATTCAGTCGCTCAGAAGGACACCATGAAAAGCTGGATTCTTCTGTGCACCTTGCTGTTCCTGGGCGAGACTCTTCCTGCCCGGGTGCATCGTACGCGGAGGGAACTGGCACCCGGATTGCACGAACAGGGGATACGGGATGCAGAAGGCTCGTACTGTGGCCGGCAGGATGCGTGTTGTCGCGGGAGGGATGATGCCTGCACCATCCCCTACTTTGATACCCTTTGCTACTGTGACCTCTTCTGCAACCGAACCATCTCTGACTGTTGCCCTGATTTTTGGGAATACTGTTTGGGCATTCAACCACCGTATTCACAGCAGAAAGGTAAGCCGTGGATCTGAAGTTACATCTGATTTGAAGGACTTGCAGGAAATGCCTGCTGAATTAGAATCAGGGCTGGTTTAGGCCAACTGAGCCCAGCCCAACAATGGCGCCCTTTGGCCCTTCCATTGGTTAACTGACCAGATGCTAAGATTCATTCAGTAAGGATGTGCTTAGGATACCAAGAGAAAGGGGCACCATAGATTTCCCCCCCAGTTATCATGCCTTTATTTCTTTCACTGGGTGGGGAGGAGGAGGAGGAGGAGGAGGAGGAGGAAGAAGAAGAAGACTGTGGGGTCTTTGGTGTTCCCTGACCCTGGCTGTTTTGTTGCAGACGTTTCATTACCCAACTAGGTAACATCATCAGTGCTAGAAGGGAGTGGGGTTTGCTCTCTGTTTATATATAACAGATTTGCTCTTTCAGTGTGGTTTTCTTCTTGGTAGTGTCTACCAAGAAGAAACTTGGAAAGCACCAAGAATTCCACAATTTCACTTCAAAATACTTTTCGCCCTCTGTGTGTGTGTGTACTTTTTTTTAGAAGTTTTCTTTTTGCCTTTTTGTTTTCTTTTGGCTTTTTTTAAGGGTCCATAGTGGTTTTTTCCCCCCCTGCGATAGTAATATAGCAATATAGCTTTGTATTTATTTATTATTTCAACTTTTAAGGCCTCGTACTTGGGAACAATTCTAGGTGGCTCACTAAGGATTGAAAATAAATAACACATCCGTTAAAAGACAATGAGAGAAACTGACGTGTGGGGGGGGGGAAAGGGCATCGCAACTATTATTTAATTGATACGTAATATGACAGACTGGTCACTCGTTTTTGTTTAAGAAGTGTTAACCGCTAGGATTTTAAACCTTCATAAATACATTTTAAAAACTCAGCAGTGTGAATGTATGGTCGTATTGTTGCTTGTTGAAATCCATAGGGGTTTCCAACCCGCCCACATTTCAGAGGTCATTCCTGGGTTTATGAAACAGCCTTTCAAGCAGTCCTGCCATGGATACAGTCACTTCTCTGCAGCAGCCTCATCTCCTGCCTTGGCCCCCAATAAGGAAAATGTGATTTTCTTCCTTCAGTACAATAGCTGCCTTTTCTCTGGACCTCTTATGGAGAGGCTGGAAGAGATGCCCTCAGCAATCTGCCTTTTCTCTAAACCCAGGATATTAACCCAAACGCTGCTTTGAGCCACCGTCTGGGTTGTTTTTATGGAGCTGGGATTCAGAAAAGGAGGAAGAGGTAGGGCAAAAAGCAGAATTCTATACAGGTACCATCTTTTCCATCCAAGCTGCATTCTTGTTAGAATGCACTGAGGACCAAAATTGTTGCGGGCGATATCCTGACTCCTTAAACCGCTTAGAGAGGGCTGTAAAGCATTGTGAAGTGATATATAAGTCTAAGTCAGTGGTTCTCAAGCTTTTTAATGCCGCGACCCCCAACCGGTCGTAAGTCGAGGACTACTCAACTGGTGCAGCACCGTTTGCAGAATGGGACTTTTGGCGGGCTCAGCAGGGCAGAGACAGCCGGACAGCAGGGCTTTTAGAAGCTACATTCTGGACAATTCCTATTGGCTTTTGAAAGCCAATAGAATTAGACTCTATTCAAGAGAGTCTATTCTATTGGCTTTCGAAAGCCAATAGAATAAAAGGGAGTAGCACAGCTAAGGAAAAGGGGGAAAAAATGGCGGACTGAGTTGTTTGGCAACCCCCGTCAAATGGTCGTTTGACCCCAAATGGGGTCCCGACCCACAGGTTGAGAACCACTGGTCTAAGTGCTATTGCTATCAAACAACAACATCTGTTTAGCCCAGGCCTTTGGGAAGCACTCAGTAGGTGGATAAAAAAGCCTGATCCAATCTAAACATCTGACTGACTTTGCGACAAACCATAATAAGTTATTAGGTAAAGAAATCCCGCAGGTAAAGAAATGCCTGTCTGGTCTACCACTGCCTTTCTGAGAGCTTTAATCCCAAAAGCTATGCCAGGGACTTTTAAAATTAAATTGGATTTGAATATTCTCTGATTGACAGGTCTCCTGTTCCATGCAGCTGAGGGCTCAACGCAACTTTTCACGTTTTCAAGACTCAACATTTAACTTTCAAAATGGGTTCTGGGCAGAAGTCTTGGATAAAATCAAACTTTCCCCTCTTCAGACCCATTTCCACCCAACCTTGTTGAATAATGGTGGGGGTTTAAATACAGTTTAACTTCTACAAGTTTCCACCACCCTTTGGAGAGGTTAAAAGCCAGGCATTTGTCTGATCCATGTATATTTATAAGGGAGTGGGGTCCTGAAACTATAAGTAATTGTGCAGATGAAAAAGGGAGTGGGAGAGAGCAACTGCAGGGCACATATTTGTGAATGTATTGTGTTCTCTTGCACGTGTAAAAACACAACAGTTCTTTAACTGCCTGCAAATAAAACAACAAAACATTTCCAGGGAAGATGTTACGGGATTTGTAGCCTCTGATTTATTGAAAAGTACTCAAGCAAAACATAATAATGTTGTACGCTGTCTAGAATCACTTTCCATGAGATGCGGACGTATAAATTTGATTAATAAAATAAAGTGCACAGTAAAAGTAATTGCACCTTTCTTTTTTCCACTCCTCAAATGAGAAACTGATGCTCAGCCTTGTCAACCTCAGTTGTCCTCTCTCTTCCTCTCTTCTCTCTCTCTCTCCTGTACCATATTCTTAAAAGTTCAAGCTGCGTGGTTGTAATTCTAAAGGTTTTGGCGCTGCTCCATCTCACCTCTCATCTCTTTTGCAGGCTTTCCCAACCTGGCTCCTTCCAGATGTGTTTGCAACCCCTGGAATGTCCAGGGCCTGTGGGTGGGAATCCTGGGAGGGATAGCTCAAAGAGGGTCTGGAGGCTGCCACCTGGGCAAATACCATTCTAAGGAACAGTGCATTCCAGACGCAGAGGGGAGAGATTGCCTGCCAAAGGCGAACGTCTCCAATCTCTTATTTGCCCTGAATGAAAGATCACCCCATAAGCCAGGTGTTCTGCAAGCTATCGTATCATAGGCCTTCAGGACAAACTGTGGTGGCCTCACTTGCATTGTGACGTCATGGCAAAAGTCATCCAGTTGGTGTAATCTGCATTCCAGCTGATGTCAACAACATGATACATGCCATTTGTGCCATTACATCAGTGGTTCTCAACCTTTTTAACGCCGTGACCCCCAACCGGTCGTAAGTCGAGGACTACTCAACCGGTTGTAAGTCGAGGACTACTCAACGGTTGTAAGTCGAGGACTACTCGTGCAGCACCATTTGCAGAATGGGACTTTTGGCGGGCTTAGCAAGGCAGAGACAGCCTGGACAATTCCTATTGGCTTTTGAAAGCCAATCGAATTAGACTCTATTCAAGAGAGTCTATTCTATTGGCTTTCAAAAGCCAATAGAATAAAAGGGAGTAGCACAGCTAAGGAAAAGGGGGGGGGGGGAAATGGCGGACTGCGTTGTTTGGCGACCCCCGTGAAATGGGTGTTCGACCCCAAATGGGGTCCCGACCCACAGGTTGAGAACCACTGCATTACATGATGCATGTGATGCCACTGGCTTTTCCTCTTTTCACACACCCGTGATTTTGGTTAATCACAAAACAAGGTCTTTGCCGCCACTTCAAAAATGTAATCTAAATCAGGGTGTCCAGCCCTGACAACTTTAAGACTTGTGGGCTCCAACCCCTAGTACACCCTAGCCAGCATGGCTGACTGGGGGATTCTGGGAGTTGAAGTCCATAAGTCTTAACGTTGCGAAGGTTGGACACTCCTGATCTAAACGCTGAGCCATCTTACAATACATAGAGCTCTGTAGACTAACCCTTTTTGTTCTGGCATTTTTTCTCCCCCAGACTGCATTCGCAATGGTGTCAAGTTCCACCCTGGAGCAACTTACCGGGATAATTGCAACCTCTGGTAAGACTTGGGTTTTGGGATCTCAGTCTATTTCTTCTATCAGTTTTGCTCTGTCATATAGGATGCTGCACCTGTGGTAAATACACACTGGTTGCCAAGTGCTGAATTTTGATCAGTGAGTGCAGAGTCACTGTGATGGTTGTAAGCACAACAACTGGTTGTAAGTCACTTTTTCCAGTGCTGTTGTAACTTTGGATGGTTGCTAAACAAATGGAACTAAGTCAAGGATTACCTGTAGTCTCACAAGAGCCAAAAAAAAAAAAAAGGAGCCAGACTCTCACAATACACCAGAAGAAAAGCTGCAGTGCTTCCTTGGAAACATAGAAAGGGACTCCTTGTGGTTAAAACTTCAAATGCTCTGGATCAGGGCCAGCTCTGGAGGTGTTTGGGGTCCCCCAGGTCAAAGAAAATGGCAAAAATGGTTAGAAAGTCATCATTTAAATCGGGGAGGGGGGGATCTTGGCAACTTTAAGACTTGTGGAATTCAGCTCCCAGAATTAGCCAGCTAGCATGGATGTTAAGAATGGGAACATTTAAATCAGAGGTGTCCAACCTTGGTGACTTTAAGACTTGTGGAGTACAACTCCCAGCCAGTATAAAATTCTCGGAGCTGAAGTCCACCTTTTCTTAAAGTCGCCAAGGTTGGACATCCCTGATTTAAATGTCCCCATTCCTAATCCCCTATCATGCCTCAGGGTTATGTGATGCTGGATGCTCTGGAAAATTTAACATAGTAGCTTCCCACCTCTCAGTCAAATAAGGGTTGAGGAGATGTGACAAATCTGGTTTATCCTACAAGGACTTTTCTCAGCCCAACATTTGTTCAGGGAAACCAGGTTCTAACCTTGGGCTTGTTGTGGGTTAATGGATCGATATGCGGTCCCAAGATTCTAATCTGAATCCCTTCCAGAGGTATTGGACTACACCACCATTCAGGGACTCTGCTGGCTGAAGAATAATGGGCGTTGTAACTCAATACACCTGGAAAATACTGTGTGTAGCAAGGACAGTCCTATCAAAATCGGGGCGATGCCCGTGAGTTTGAAGTGCTGCAGAGTTGCCAGTCTCTACAGAATAGATCTGGAAGTTGTGCTCTGAGAATTCCCCACCAACTCTTAAGGGTGGGGATTCTGGGTATTGTAGTTCCCCAGTATTTTTTTAAAAAAAGACAAAATGAAGGCAGGGCGCATCGCCTCGTCTCTTTTTCCATTCTTTTCATTCTCCCGTTTCTCCAACTCTCATCCCACCCTTGTTTCCACTGCCTTCCCCCTCCAAAATGAGCTTAGAGGTCCTATAAAAGGAATGAAGGCCAAGAGGCCAATGGCTGCCTTCAGGGTCTAGGGCAGGGTGTTCTTCCAAGTAGGGCTTGTGGGTCTGTTTATGATTGGGGACAAAGGGGAGAAACTTTGGAATGGAGAGGAATTTGAACTATGTGCGTTTCCAAGTGCCCGGGGGCTCCTGTCTACTCTGAGCCACACGGATACACGGAACAAAACTGGGCATGTCAGCCTTGAAACTGGAGTTTTAGCTGCGATCCTTCTCGTTCCCACCGGCTGCCTTCACACAACCTGCTCATTACTGTTCCTGGAGGAACCAGTTTCTGGGTTTAGCCAACATGCTGATCCCTAAGCTAAGGAACAGCCAGGATTCACAGTCCCACTGAGCCGCATTTAAAAAAAACATACACACAAAAAAAACCAATCCAAGTGAAAACTAACTAGGTTTCAGAAACTGAATCACAGCTAGATTATTCACTGCCCCAGTTCAGAGAGTTGTGCGAAGGCAACCGTAGACTAAAGTGGATGCAATGGAAACAGCAATCTTACTTTCTCAACAATCACTTCCGAAAAGGTGGGATGATTCTTTCAAAATTCACTCTACAATGCCTTGGTAAGGCCACACTTGGAATACTGCATCCAGTTTTGGTCACCACGATGTAAAAAAGATGTTGAGACTCTAGAAAGAGTACAGAGAAGAGCAACAAAGATGATTAGGGGACTGGAGGCTAAAACATATAAGGAACGGTTGCTAGAATTGGGTATGTCTAGTTTAACGAAGAGAAGGACAAGGGGGGACATGATAGCAGTATTCCAATATCCAGGGGCTGCCATAAAGAAGAGGGAATTAAGCTATTTTCCAAAGCACCTGAAGGCAGGACAAGAAGCAACGGGTGGAAACTAATCAAGGAGAGAAGCAACCAAGAACTAAGGAGAAACTTCCTGACAGTGAGAACAATTAATCAGTGGAACAGCTTGCCTCCAGAAGCAGTAAATGCTCCAACACTGGAAGTTTTTAAGAAGAGACTGGACAGCCATTTGTCCGAAATGGTTTAGGGTTTCCTGCCCGAGCAGGGGGTTGGACTAGATGACCTCCAAGGTCCCTTCCAACTTTACTACTATTACTATTACTAAAATGACGGGAGACAATTCCTTGCTGGTTCAGTTTGAGGCTGTCCTTAGAAGCAGGTGTCAGGAGGGTTCGGATCTGCAAGTCAGAAGCTCAGCCAGCCAGCTGGCCCAGCTGGACGGCCTCTTGATCCTGAGAAGCACCTTCAGAAAGTCTGGTTTCCAGCTGGCCTTTTCTTAAAGGACTTCCCATCTTGGGTTGCTTCCAGAAACGGGCCTCTCCAAGCACCATCACTCAAAAATGTATGAGCTGCTTTTGCTAAGGCAGCCCATAAAAGGAGAAATGTTTGCTGTCACTGGAGGGTTAGGGAGAGGGGGGGGGGATTTTTGGACCGAAAGAAAATGCCAGGCATTGCACGAAGGGCAGCTAATACTGCTTGTGGCTGCCTGTCAAGGAGGCAAACATTTCTTAATCGGTGTTTCTTAACCTCCTATGAAAGGGACTGTTATATTCCACACAGCCAAGGTGGCTGCTTAAATGCAGCTCCATCCCCCAGATGCACAACTGTCATTCCCAATCGTTGCCCCTCTCAGATGTGTTGGATCGTGACTTCCATTCTCAGCCAGCCAAGCCAAATTTGGACAGCATCGTTCCAAGGCAGGCGGACGTAGAAGATATTTATATCACGTCAGAATTTCCACGCCGTTATTCTGTAAAAGACATTACTACGCCAATAAAAAGAGAATAGCTTTGTCGCTTGAAATGGGGGGCGCTTGGTGCTCTCTGAGCTTGGTTGTTTTCGGGCAGAGGTTTCATTACCCAGACTAACACTGCCAGCACTGATGGTGTCACCTAGTTGGGTAAGGAAACGTCTGCAAGAAAACAGCCAAGCTCAGAGGCACCAAGGACTGCTCATTCCTGCACATCCTGGTGATGGCCGTGAACTTGGAATGCTTTGAGAGGGGCAGGGTTAAATTCACGGAGGAAAAGGCCCATTAAAGGCTTTCAAGTTTCAACGGTACTTCCAGGTTGGAGTTACTTTTCCTCTATAGCAGGGGTAGTTAACCTTGGCTCTTTTATGACTCGTGGACTTCAACTCCCAACTAAGCTGGCTCAGGAATTCTGGGAGTTGAAGTCCACGAGTCATAAAAGAGCCAAGGTTAACTACCCCTGCTCTATAGTATCACCTCCCAAAAACATATGATTGCCACGGGAATAAATTTCTAAATTAGTAGATACCTTAGTCTGCTCCAGTAGAACTTTGCTTATTATCTTACTGCGTGTGTGTGTGTGTGTGTGTGTGTGTGTGTGTGTGTGTGTGTGTACATGCGCCTTGGAGTCAGTGCTGATCTTGGCAATTGCCTGGACAGATCTCTGCAGTAGTTTGCCATTGCCTTCTTTCTAGGGTGAGAGAGTGGAATAGAGGTCACCCAGCTGGCTTTCATGGCTAAGACAGGACTAGAATTCACAGTCTCCTGGTTTCTATTCTGGTGCCTTAACCACTAGACTAAACTGGCTCTCTTTTCCAGCTCTGCTCCCCAGCTAATACCTTCCTCTAATAGGTTTAAGCTGTGCAAGTCCAAACTAAACGAGGCTTCAAAACTAGAAGTCCATTCTGGGCCTGGGCAACAAAAAATTAGTTAACGGTTCTGCTGAACTGGTGCGAACTGGCTGAATCCCACCACTAGTTTACTCCTGCTAGGAAGCTACTAGGGGAAAGCACGCCAAAACATCACCTGGGAACACGAAGCACAGTGATTTTAACTTGGGGCATGGTGAAACTGATGAAAGAATTATGAAATTGACTAGATCCCCTTGTGCTATCTAAGGGCTAGTGCAGGGGTAGGCAACCTTGGCTCTTTTATGACTCGTGGACTTTAACTCCCAGAATTCCTAAGCCAGCCATGCTGAGGGGAAAGGGAGAGGTTTCCATGCTGAGCCCTGCTGGCTGAGGAATTCTGGGAGTTGAAGTCCACGAGTCATGAAGGGGCCATAGTTCCCCCATGCTGGCTGAGGAATTCTGGGAGTTGAAGTCCACGAGTCATAAAAGAGCCAAGGTTGCCTACCCCTGGGCTAGTGAATGTCCAATTAGCTGAGCTTGGTGGATCCCTAAAAACCAAGGAGGGTTCAAAGACCTTGGAAGAACGTGGATGGAAGCCTCTCAAGGATTGTTAAGGCTGCATGCTGGAAGTCAGAACACTTCCTGAGAGAAAGCAATGGCTGACCTATTCTGTACGGCTGCCAAGAAAACTACCTCACTCAATTCATGATGTCACCAGGAATTGTACTTGACTAGAAGGAGACTTTGAATGGCAAAACACGAGGAGAAGATGGGAAGGAAGGGTGCTCCTGTCTCCACTTCTCTCAAGAGATTATTGATGGACAGGAAAGGGCTGATGTCATTTTTTCCCTTTTTAGTAACTTACATCAAACACATAGGAATAAAGAGGAATGTTGCAGCTTGTGTGTGTCCTTATACATGTCTGACCCAGAACGTTGGCCTGAAAAGCTTGCAGCAGCTCCTGCAAGCCAATGCAGTCATCCTTTCTAACTCCAATTATTTCTCCTGCTGTTAAACCTTTGCACTCCCGTTCTTGCCCAAGTAGCTTTTTCTGCAGTGTATTTGCTAACTGAGCACATGGACAGAGTCACTCAGGAAACAAACACACAAAAGAGGTTTTAGAGCAATTCATAATTAGGACTTTATTTCTTGCACAGCAATTCAAGGTCTGCCCTCAAAACGGGGGGTGGAGTTGAGATCCAATGTGGAACGGGCTTTTAAAAATATCCATTTATTTTTTAAAAATATTCCCCCCCCCCATAAAAGATTAAAAAATAATTCATTCTAGCTGATCCCTCCTCACACTCCCCATACCTCCTTCATGCTTCTTGGTTCGGTTTCCTGGAAACAAATAGCAGGAGATTATTTGATTACTGTTAGATGGCCTCACCAAATGGTGCAGGAATCTCCAAGCTCTAGGAATGTTGTGGGGCATTCTGGATACTTGCCAGATCACACATGGTCCCTGAGTTGTGACTTTTGTATTATTGGTCTAAATATGCTGGCTGGGGGATTCTGGGAGTTGAGGTCTTAAAGTTGTCAAGCTTGAAGAACGCTTGTTTAAGTAGTCCAAAAGTTGGTTCTTTTCTACCTTTTTTATGGTATGGGGTTTGATTTCACTCAACCCCCATAAGAAGATCAGTGTCAACCCAGGCAGCTGCTTTGCACAATATGCTAGATTTGGTTGGTTGGTTTTAATCTTGAACAGTTCAGTCTCATCATGGTAAAGGTGTTTTTACACCAATCACCCTCCTTCTCAGTCTGATGTGTGCAAAGCCAGAGAATGGGTTAATCTGGTAATCAGGACAAGAGTGTGAATGCAGCCAATGGAAAAAGTCAGATGAAAATCTGTTCTGTATAACATGTAGTTTGGCACAAAGTCTTGGCTTTCTCTCAGTCTGGCCTCACTGCCCACCTTCTTTTTTTCCTTTCCTTTCCTTTCCTTTCCTTTCCTTTCCTTTCCTTTCCTTTCCTTTCCTTTCCTTTCCTTTCCTTTCCTTTCCTTTCCTTCCCTTCCCTTCCCTCCCCTCCCCTCCCCTTTCCTTCTTTCCTTTCCTTTCCTTTCCTTTCCTTTCCTTTCCTTTCCTTTCCTTTCCTTTCCTTTCCTTTCCTTTCCTTTCCTTCCCTTCCCTCCCCTCCCCTCCCCTCCCCTTTCCTTCTTTCCTTTCCTTTCCTTTCCTTTCCTTTCCTTTCCTTTCCTTTCCTTTCCTTTCCTTTCCTTTCCTTTCCTTCCCTTCCCTTCCCTTCCCTTCCCTATCCTAGCCTAGCCTAGCCTAGCCTAGCCTAGCCTATCCCCACTCTTTGAGACTTTTCCCATCTCAGACTGCTCTGTTCTCCTATCACGACTCACTTGAAACACCAGGAATAGGCTTACCTGATGCTTCCAAACCAGCAGGTCAAAATCACATCAGCCAGATATGCGGAAAATCCTCAATTTACAACCATTCATTTACCGATGAGTTGAAATTACAACAGCACTGAAAAAGTGACTTCCAATTGCTCCTTGCACTTACAACCATCTTAGCATCCCCACGGTCACGTGATCAAAATTTGGGCCCTTGGCAACTGGCCTCTATTTATGATGGTTGCAGCATCGTGTGTTCATCATTGGCAACCTTCCCAGGCAACGTTCAACAAGCAAAGTCAATGGGGCAAATCACATTTGCTTAAGAACAGCAGCGATTTGCTTCAAAAACTGTGCCAAGGAAGGTTGTAAAATTGGGCACACCTGATTTAACAACCCCCCTTGTTTAGCAATGGAAATGGTGGTCCCCATTTTGGCCCTAAACTGAGGATGACATCATTGCAGATCTCAGAACTGAGTTTGTGATTAACTCAGTCTCCTTTTGAGTCTGTAGTGATCTTTTCTGTGTCCTTTCTCCGTAGTACTTGCAACGGACACGGCAAATGGGAGTGTGAAAGCCACGTCTGCCTTATCAGTGGGGACATGATCGATGCCGTCAACAGAGGGAATTATGGGTAAGAACAAAATTTCTTGAGTTGACGGAGCATGGGCTGAATTGAAGAATTGGGGTCACCTCCAGATACTGTAGTGGACCAATTCAAAATAAAAACTCTGCGGGTATTTGCAAAAACCGTCACTGTGAACAACGGCTCTTGTTTTCTGAAGCAGCTGCAACAAATCAGCTGCCTTAGATTAAAGTTCCCCAGCCTTTCTGGCTTTGTGGACCAGCGTGGTGGTGGTGGTGGGAGAAGGGATGGTTCTACGTGAGCCCATGCGCATGTAGCTCCATTTGCTGCTCACGCCAATGGAGCATGTGTGCTTGTGTTTGTGTGCATGTGTTTGCCCACTGGTCGTGCAAGTAGGGATGCGTACATGCACGCACTCATCGCCGTTTCTGTGGCCCGGTTGCAAACACCTCCTGGCCCACTAGTGGGCTGTGGCCCAGAGGTTGGGGACCCCTGCCTTAGATGCTTAACCCATTCACAAGTTCAGGCTCCAGGAAGAGTTGGGCTTTTGCTTTCCATTCTGAGCTAATTTGCAACTGGGGAAGAGGAAACTAAATTCATCCCACAACAGACCCAAAAGCCACAGCCTGAGATGGAAGTATTGCTAGGGCTGAGTATACTTAGCAAAGCCAAGCGTTGTCTTTTTAGCAGATTGTCTTCTTTCTTTCTTTAGCTGGAGAGCTTCCAACTACAGCCAGTTCTGGGGGATGTCACTGGAAGAAGGGATTCGGTACCGTCTTGGTACCATCAAGCCTCCGACCTCTGTCATGAATATGAATGAGCTTCAAGTAAGGGCATTTCTCATTTTATTTATTTATTTGTTTTATTTATTTATTTATGAGACTTATATACCGCTTTAAGTGCAAGCACTCTCTCAGCGGTGTACACCAGTAAGCAATGTGTGTATATATATATATATTATATATATATATATATATATAATATTGCTGATCGAGGCACGAAGCTGAAAGCACCAGCCTGAAGATGACGAATGGGACTTCGTCGAAACGTCGCCAAGACACTTCCAAACTTTACGTGGAGAGAAAACCCGAACAACCAAAGACCTACATACAAATACCCGCGAAAAACCTCAGAAAAAATATTATATATATATATATATATATAGATATATATATATATATATATATATATATTTACATTGCCCCCAACAATCTGGGTCCTCATTTTACCTACCCCGGAAGGATGGAAGGCTGAGTCAACCTTGAGCTGGTGAGATTTGAACCGCTGACCTGCTGAACACAGTCAGCTAAAGAGGCCTGCAGTACTGCACTCTAACTGCTGCGCCACCTCGGCTCTTTTGTTAGATTACTCTGCTTTTGAGACTCCAATTTGAGCTGCATTCTGCTATGAAGTCACAGGGGTCCTTTATGCAACTACTAGGGCTCAGCCCCATTCCAGCCATCCCCAATGCCATAAAGCAGCAACGGCGAGCCTTTTAGAGACCAAGTGCCCAAACCACAACCCAAAACCCATTTATTTATTGCAGAGTGCCAGGGCCGCATCAGCATTGTGGTGCCCTTGGGGGGCATAGGGGTGTGGCCCACTGGGTGGGCATGGCTGCGGTTGTCATGGCAGACTGGTGGGCATGGCTGCGGTGGGCATGGCCACCTCGACATTGCTCATAGGGGAGACACCTGTGGGGCCAGGCAGGGTTGGGGGAGATCCAGGGGGTCTCTGGCAGGTGGGGCGGTGGACAGGAGGCCCAGCATAGATGGGAGAGAGGCACGCAATCCTAGCTGGGACTGGGGGGCCATGACGCCGATGGGGATCCAGCTTTCCCTGCTCGGGGTGGCCTTTGGCTTGCTGGGCGTGGGCGTGTTCTACCACCTCTACTCGAGCTTGCTAACTGGCTGCTTTGCCTCCTTTGTGCTGGGTGGGGCTGCCCCTCTGGGTGGTGGCAGCCTAATAGACCTGCGCAAGCTGCTGGCAGCAGTAGCATGCATGCCCACAGAGAGGGCTCTGAGTGCCATCTCTGGCATGCGTGCCATGGGTTCGCCACTACTGCCATAAAGTAATCTTCAAAGGACACACATCTGGAGCCAATGGAAACACCTGGGCAATTTCGGATAACCTAAAAATGCTAAGCAAGATTGAGTAAACAGGAGACCACTGGAAAACCCTAGGGCTGTAGACCAGTGTTTCTCACTTGAGCAACTTTAAGAGGAGTGGACTTCAACTCCCAGAATTCCAGAAAAAAACAAGAAGGAGAGGAGATAAACATTGGTTGATTAACACAACACTTTAGTGCAGTGGTTCTCAACCTGTGGGTCGGGACCCCATTTGGGGTTGAACGACCATTTCACGGGGGTCGCCAAACAACGCAGTCCGCCATTTTTTCCCCTTTTCCTTAGCTGTGCTCCTCCCTTTTATTCTATTGGCTTTCGAAAGCCAATAGAATACACTCTATTGAATAGAGTCTAATTCTATTGGCTTTCAAAAGCCAGTAGGAATTGTCCAGGCTGTTTCTGCCCTGCTGAGCCCACCAAAAGTCCCATTCTGCAAATGGTGCTACACTAGTTGAGTAGTCCTCGATTTACGACCGGTTGGGGGTCATGGCATTAAAAAGGTTGAGAACCACTGCTTTAGTGGTTATTGTGGGAATTGAAGGAACTGGGTCCTTTCAGAAAATCCAGCTTTGGATTTTGCTGTGTTGTGTACAGTGTACACCAAGTGCCCCCCATTGCTCTTCAGTATTTTGAGTCCGTTGGAGGAAAAGTCACATCTAAGTGGAATATAGTTAATATTTCACCCTACGTTTGTAGCAGTGATATCCAAGAAATTGCAAGTGTGTTGTTCCATTATGTTGACTTCTGGCATTTGACACAGTAGAATGGCCGGACTGTTGCACTGTACAAATGGAAGGGAACACACACACATACACACACAGAGATACAAACAGATCCCTCAGCTTTGGCATCTCTGCAAAACTTGGAATGCTGGTTGAAATCTCTTGAATCAATAATAGAACTGGCAAGAAGGTCTGGAACAAAAATATCATGTTTTGGAATCTGTCCCATGATAGGGGAAAATGCTTTGAACGCTGAGATGTTTTGTAAGATGCAGCCTTGGGCATCTGCCGCCACCCTTGCTGCTGCCTCGGGCTATGGAGATGTGCGTGGGCTCAACTGCCTGTCCTCTTGCAACCTGCATTTTCACCAATAAAACTTGTTCAAGGTCCGGCTAAATCCTAAACAACTATTCTGAAAATTGTTATTGCTTTGAGAAATGGAAAAGAGAAAACAACAGTGTTGCTTGAACAGTATTTCTTTTTTATATAAGTTTTTATTTTATTTTATTTCATACAATTCAGTAGTACTTATTCAACAAACGTGTTGTCTGAGTTTCTTCTTCTTCTTCTTGTGCCCTATCCGTTATCGGACGTTGGCGATCATGTTGGTGATCCTGTTTTCCTGTTTTACCCAGCAGCTGCACGAAAAAGTGCTGTTGAGTTTTGTCCAAACCAGTCCCTTAAATTTTGAAGCCACGATGTTCTTCTTCTGCCTGGACCTCGTTTGCCTTCAATCTTTCCCTGGAGGATTAAATGGAGTATGCCGTATTTTTCTGGGTGTCACACCACATGGCCGAAATATTCTAATTTTTGTTTTTTAATTGTTTTGATGATTTCCCTGGGCTTTCCCAGGTGGCTTATCACCTCCTCATTTCTGATCTTGTCAACCCAGCTTATACGTAACAGCCGCCTGTAAATCCACATTTCAAAGGCTTCTAGTCTCTTCAGGTGGCCTTCTGTCAGAGACCGACTCTCTACTCCAAAGAGCAGGATAGGAAAAATACAGCATCTGACAAGGCTGAGTTTATCATTCACTAATACAAATTTAATTCCTAATCCTTTCTTCTTTTCTTCAGCCATTGATAACATAAGACCCAAGTTTGAAAGTATTCTGTTTCTTCTTTTTCTTTCAATCCCAAAGCGAGTCTGTCCATTTCCGCACACTCTAGTATTTTTTTTTAAATTATTTTTTCCTCTGGTGGTATTTCTTCATTTTTCCAGTGTTGTGCAAATATGATTCTTGCTGCTGTTATTACATGTAGCGTCAAGTATATACTTTGTTTATCAATCTTTTCTGGCATTATGCCTAATAAAAAAAACCTTCAGGTTTAAAATCTACATGTTTTCCCAACATCTTTTCTAGCCAAGTATGTATTTTTGTCTAATATCTCTTTGCTTTAACACAGTGGTTCTCAACCTTTTTAATGCCGCGACCCCAACCGGTCATAAGCCGAGGACTACTCAACCGGTCATAAATCGAGAACTACTCAACTGGTGCAGCACCATTTGCAGAATGGGACTTTTGGTGGGCTCAGCAGGGCAGAGACAGCCTGGACAATTCCTATTGGCTTTTGAAAGCCAATAGAATTAGACTCTATTCAAGAGAGTCTATTCTATTGGCTTTCAAAAGCCAATAGAATAAAAAGGAGTAGCACAGCTAAGGAAAAGGGGGGAAAAATGGTGGACTGCGTTGTTTGGCGACCCCAAATGGGGTCCCGACCCACAGGTTGAGAACCACTGCTTTAACACATGTCCGCCATACATGTTAATAAGTACCTGACTTGTGTTTGCATTTCCAACATCTATCTGACATTTTTGAACATTTTTTTGCTAATCTTGCCACCAGATCAGTATTTCTCAGCCTTGGCAACTTTTAAGCCGGGTGGACTTCAGCTCCCAGAATTCAATCGCATTGAATGTCCTATGACTCCTGGGAACGTTGTTGTGCTTATTGGGTGATTCTCTTTCTGATTTCCTCTCTTTCCTGCAGATCAACATGGCCACCAACGAAGTGCTGCCTTCTCATTTCAATGCTGCCGACAAGTGGTCTGGAATGATCCATGAGCCGCTCGATCAAGGCAACTGTGCGGGATCCTGGGCCTTTTCCACAGCAGGTAGCAAGCCTTGGATGCAAAGGGGATAGTCGTAGAATCATAGGAGTGGAAGGGACTTTAGAGGTCTTCTAGTCTAACCCCCTGCCCAAGACAGGAGTCCTTATGCCATTTGGACAAATGACTGTCCAGGGTAAGGTGGTCTTCCACTGTGGTATTCAAGCTCTTTGTCTGCGTATATCCTCCAAACCTATTCCAACTTCATAGGCAATATGACCCCAGCCAATTGATGGCATGTTAGCTCTTTAAAGCATGAATTACCAGATTGAGCATGTCAGTCCCAGAAGGATCAGCTATGCTGGCTGAGGAATTCTGGGAGCTGAAGTCCACAAGTCTTAAAGTTGTCAAGGTTGCAGACCTCTGCTCTAGAGATAGATAGGGATGTATTTTGCACCAACCTTCTCAAGATGATCTGATTCCTTTCTCTCGAGCTTATGGGCTTGCCCTTAAATGTTTTTGTCCCTGTCTTCCCTGGCCCTCAGTCCCCTTCTTCCCCTTCTTCAGCCCTGGATCTGCAGCTGGACAGTTGGATGCAAGCAACACAACAGGTTTCTAACCACAGGTTTCTTTTTTCTCTCCAGCGGTGGCTTCTGACCGGATCTCCATCCATTCCATGGGACACATGAAACCTGCCTTGTCCCCCCAGAACCTGTTGTCTTGCAACACTCGGCACCAACAAGGCTGCAATGGAGGCCGTGTGGACGGAGCCTGGTGGTTCCTGCGCAGGAAGGGGTGAGTGGCCAATGGTCCTTTTCTGCAAATGAGCTTGGGACAATTTGGACTTTCCCACAAGGCCAGCAACATGGGGATAGTGAAAGTCACTTTCATTTCCAAGGGTACAACCTACGATGATATTTGACTAGACTATTACTAGAACAAAGGAGATATCTCCTGACAGTGACAATAATTAATCAATGGAACAGCTTGCATCCAAGAGTTGTGGGTGATCCGTCACTGGAGATCCTCAAGAAAAGATTGGCCAGTTATTTGTCCGGGATGGCATAAGGTTTCCTGCCTTGGGCAGGAGGTTGAACTAGAAGATCTACAAGGTCTGTTCCAACTCTTTTATTCTTGTATGACAATCCTTGGTTTCCTGCAGTAGTTAGTAGAAAGATGTTCAAGATACATTGGGTAGAGGGTGGACAGCATATGATTCTATGAGTCAGTGGCTTTGTGTTAGCCAACAGCCTGGATCACATTTGTCTAGGAGAGTTGGATTCAAGAAACACAACAAGGTGGGCAGCATATGACTCCATGGTTCTCTGATTCAATGCCTTTGCGTTAGTCAACAATCTGGATCACATTTCTCTAGGTCGCTATTTATCACCACCATCTTCAAGCAGGGCCAAGCTAGCTCATGAGCAGTTTGATCTTGGGAAGCGAGCCTGGGAGCAGGTCCTGAGTTCCAAGCCACCTCCAAACCATTCTCTTTTCTCCCTTGCGCCTTCTAGGGTGGTGACTGAGGAATGCTACCCGTTCACCAGCCAGGAGAGCTCCTTCACCAGCCCACCTTGCATGATGCACACCCGCTCCGCTGGCCGGGGGAAGAGACAAGCCACAGCACGTTGCCCCAACTCACAGACGGACTCCAACGAGATTTACCAATCCACGCCTGCATATCGTCTCTCCTCAAATGTAAGTTCTGTCTTTTCTTCGTCTTACCATGCTGGCAAAGTTTGCGAGGAGGAGCCAGGGTCTAAGGGACAATTGCTTTTGATTCTCTGTTGACCTAACATCTGCTTTTTCTTTGTAGGAGAAGGAGATCATGAAGGAGTTAATGGAAAATGGACCTCTGCAAGGTGAGGTGGACTCTCTGAAATCCCCATCAGGGTGGGAAGTCACACAAAAGAGAAATGATATGTACTGGAAGGTGGTGGCTGAGTTGCCCGCTTTATTAGTATCTAACGTCTGCATTTTTTTTTGAAATGATTTATTTCCAGACTACTAAGAATCAGGAGATTGCTATGTAAACAATCTGTTGCAAGTTCCCCCGGTGTCAGTGAGCAGACCATATCCCTCCTGAGATCGGAGGAAGGTTGTCAGAAAGAAAACCAGGAGGTCTCTGCCCTAATGTTCACTGGGATGTAATGGTTTTAAATTGGAAATAGGCCAGTTGCTGGAATTCTTGTAACCTATTGACTTCATCTCGATAAATCTTGCTAAAGAAAACTCCATGAGAATCGTGCATGGAAAGAATCTAAGGAAGTTCATTCCAGCAACATATTTTAATTTTTTTTTTTGTATTTAGCCTATTGATTCCCATACAGACTTTCTAATTTTCTTCGTAACAGCGTGCTTATGATCTGACGAAGTTATGCTCACTAATAATGGAGAAGTTTGCAGCTAGCTGTTTACACAGCGGTCTTTCAAATCTTCAGCTGGTTAGGAAGCAACAATCCACTTGTCTGTTCTCAAGCAGGCCAAAGGAAATATCCTTGAATCGGTCTACAATAGAAGACAGAAAAGACAACATAATATAAAATAAATGACGGAGTCAAAGGAGATCTGTTTTTTTTTAAAGGAGCCATTCTTAGCCACAGATAATTGACTATCATAGGATTCCCACAACATGCTGAAGCCTGAACCTGAGCAAACAAAGGCAGTGTTGTTGGGCCGTGAACAATGGCTGTGATCACAGAATAGGCAGTGACCAAAGAAAATGAACCATGTGGTGACTTAACATGAGGATCTGATTCATATAGCAAGTTAAAATACAAGGTTGCTTCTCACAATTCATTCAGCGACAAACTTTTCACCTGGTCTCTTCTCTTCTCTTCTCTTCTCTTCTCTTCTCTTCTCTTCTCTTCTCTTCTCTTCTCTTCTCTTCTCTTCTCTTCTCTTCCCTTCCCTTCCCTTCCCTTCCATTCCATTCTATTATTTCATTCTGTATTCCATTCCATTCTCCTATTCTATTCTATTCTATTCTATTCTATTCTATTCTATTCTATTCTATTCTATTCTATTCTATTCTATTCTATTCTATTCCATCCCATCCCATCCCATCCCATCCCATTCCATTCCATTCCATTCCATTCCACTCCATTCCACTCCACTCTATTCCATTCTATTATTTCATTCTGTATTCTGTTCTGTTCTGTTCTGTTCTACTCTACTCTACTCTACTCTACTCTACATTCTATTCTATTCTATTCTATTCTATTCTATTCTATTCTATTCTATTCTATTCCACTCCACTCCACTCCACTCCACTCCACTCCACTCCACTCCGCTCTATTCCATTCTATTATTTCATTCTGTATTCTATTCTATTCTGTTCTATTCTATTCTATTCTATTCTATTCTATTCTATTCTATTCTACTCTACTCTACTCTACTCTACTCTACTCTACTCTACTCTACATTCTATTCTACTCTACTCTACTCTACTCTACTCTACTCTACTCTACTCTACTCTACTCTACTCTATTCTATTCTATTCTATTCTATTCTTCTAGAAAGTGGGTAAATTCAGTCAGTCTGAAGTGAGTTGCGAGTTTGCCTTTGACCCACAAAGCTTCTTCCATACCAGTTTTAAGCAGGATGGGGAAGAAAGTGGTGGCGCCTAGCAAAGCTTGGTTGAGCTCAGAATTAACCAGGATTTAACTGGTTATCACTTCAATGGGGAATGGAAAATACCAGGGCTGTCTTCCAAGGAAATACCAAGGAAACTCAAAGAACAAACACTCCAGGAAGACAGTAATAAGAAAACTTTTCCATAATGTTATTAAAAACTTGTGTGGACTTGTCCAGGAGGTCACCAGGAAAAGGAAAATGAGCAACACTGTCTCGGGACAATAATCTGCAGCCTTGGTAGTCCAGGCCAAGAATTAATCAGGAAACAGCCCAGACTTGCTTCCAAAAAACTCTCAGGGTTAAATGCCACAGCGGCCCCCAACCTTTTGGATACCAGGGACCGGTTTGGTCTAGAGAGATTTTTCCGCAGACCAGAGGGGGTGTGGTTTTGCATGCTGCCTGCATCCCACAGATGGGGCTTCACTTGTTTGCACGGTCCCGTTGCTAGCATGCCATGGACCGGTGCTGGTCCACAGACCAGAGGCTGGGGACCCCTGCCCTAAGGTGCCGCTATGGCTGATCTTTAGAAGCTTGGCGGTGGTTCATCTTGAGAGGGCTAAACTCTGCTCTTCAGCTTTCTACAACTGCATGAATGAAGAGTGCAAAGTGTTGTGTCTGGTCAAGTATCATTATGCTTGGTTAGCTTGATGGGGAAGGCAGGAACGCACAACTGCCATCAACAGACCAAGTTTCCTGATCATAAGAAGGGCCTTCTTGGTTCCAGCAAGGGGTCTTTGGTGCTCTCTGAGCTTGCTTGTTTTCTTGCAGACATTTCATTACCCAACTAGATAACATCATCAGCACTAATCAGGTTAATGAAACGTCTGCAAGAAAACAAGCAAGCTCAGAAAGCACCAAGGACTCCTCATTTCTACCCTGAGCTACAAATATTTCCCTTCATTGGTACAACAAAGTTTCTGTATGTCATGAGCTTGTGCATCGTCCTCTTTGTTGCAAGAAGTGTAGAAACTGGTTGGAGAATTCAATGAGCTCTTTCTGCTCAGCTCTAGACTTTTGTATTGTGGTAGTTGCGTTATGAGGAATGGAGTGTTCACGTCAGACTCTTTCCTAGCCTAGATTTACAGTTGATCTCCTTTCCATCCCTCTGCAGCCATCATGGAAGTGCATGAAGACTTCTTTGTATATCAGAGTGGGATTTATCAGCATACTCCTGTAGCCGCTGGGAAGCCAGAACAGTACCGACGACATGGTACCCATTCCGTCAAAATCACTGGGTGAGTAAGATCACTGGAAATCAATGAGAAACCCAAATCCCAGGTGTTCCTTTGTGAGTGAATACTTTGTCTAATGAGAAATGTAAAAGTTGTGTTTGTTTTGGCCCTGTGGTTCTAGCAGTAGATAACAGGGTGAGGAAAACGGAAAACTATAGATAGTCCTTTCAGTTAAGAAAAGACTAGAAAGTATGGGATCCTTCCACTTGGAAAAAAGTCAACTGAAGATTGAAATGGGTCAAGTCATGTATGGAATGGAGTAAAAACATAAGGTGAGGTTTTCATCCTTTTTTCTCATTACCCAGACTGAGAATCAGGTGGTAATGCTGATTTCAGACAGGCAAAATAAATAACTTCCTCTTACACAGCACACCATTAGCTTGAGAGATGTGTTCCTCTACTGCAGGGGTAGTCAACCTTGGCTCTTTTATGACTCGTGGACTTCAACTCCAAGAATTCCTGAGCCAGCTCTGGTCCTCCAGGCATGCAGCTAAGCTGGCTCAGGAATTCTGGGAATTGAAGTCCACAAGTCATAAAAGAGCCAAGGTTGACTACCCCTGCTCTATTGCTTCTTCTGTATGACAAGTTGACAACTGAAAGTAAAACCACTTATTTATCCCTCGCTCCTCTATGTTCCTGGTCACCATGATGAATTTATCTCAACATGTTCATTTTAGATAGCTACTGTCAGTGCTTTTTTTGTAAGAAAAAAGGTGCCGGAACTCACATCTTATTAATTTTTCATTTACCCTTTGCACATAGTCAATCACTGTACACACACCCACAAATGTCAGTTTTGTAACGAAACATAATGTTTGCCACCCTCAGTAAGCACTCTCTGTCTGTCTGTCTGTCTGTCTGTCTCTCTCTCTCTCTCTCTCTCTCTCTTTATCCATCCATCCTATTAACCACCCATCTTCCTTAGAGAAGGTCATAAACTAAGGATTACCTGTGTTTATTAGTAGAATTTATATGCAACTGAACTTGCTGAAAATGATTACATTTTAAGGGCACACAGTAAAATGGTTGGGCCCTCTGATCACAAATTATTCCAGAATTCTCACTTGAGACTCAAATTTTCCTCGTTTGAACACATTATGTGAAGTCCTAGGTCTCTGGAGAAGTCAGTCATTCCAGAAAAGGTAGAAGAAGAGAGGAAAAAATTGATGATCGGCAGCCAGATGGATGGACTTTATTATAGGGTTGATGGGTACAATGTTAGAAGGTCTGAAGGACCGGAATTGGAGACATATTGTCATGAAGAAAACCCATGTAGCTGCTGGAGTTTGAAGCTGTGATGATGGCACATTGTCAATATCTTCTGTTGAGTCTGCATTTCTTTTTAATTTTTGTGTTCTATGTTCATTCTGGTTTCTTTTCCATATTTTCATGTATAGTTTTCAATAATAATAATAATAACAATAATAATAATAATAACAACAACAACAACAATAAAGTTGGAATGGACCTTGGAGGTCATCTAGTCCAACCCCCTGCTCAGGCAGGAAACCCTATACCATTTCAGACAAATGGCTGTCCAGTCTCTTCTTAAAAACTTCCAGTGTTGGAGCATTCACCACTTCTGGAGGTAGGTTGTTCCACTGGTTAGTTGTTCTAACTGTCAGGAAATTTCTCCTTAGTTCAAGGTTGCTTCTCTCCTTGATTCGTTTCCATCCGTTGCTTCTTGTCCTGTCCTCAGGCGCTTTGGAGAATAGCTTGACTCCCTCTTCTTTGGGGCAGCCCCGAGAAGACTAGATTGCCTACTTCCTCTTTTTTCCATGATTGTCTTCTCCATCTTGCAACCTTACAGATGTGTTAGCAGTTGAACAAATGTTTTGTGTGGTTTTTTTTTTTTTTTAACCACAGATGGGGAGAAGAACGGAAGCTGGATGGGTCAAATCGGAAATATTGGGTGAGTGCCACCAAGGACTAGAGTAAATGTATTTCTTCTGTCAATAAGTTCACAATATCATGCTTCAACACAATTCACTTAATCAGGTCAGCCAGTGGTTTCCATCTAGATCCGTGTTTCTCAATCTTGGTAACTTTAAGCCATGCGGACGTCAACTCCCAGAATCCTCAGCCAGCATAGGCAATTCTAAGGATTCTGGGAGTTGAGGGCCATACATCTGGAAATTATTACACTTCTGAAAAAAATCTGGCCTATTATCCTAACTGGATTCCTTTAGTGAGCAGAACTTGTTCTTAGCTTCAACTTATGACTGGTTGCTTAGCGACTGTTCAAAGATACTATGGACCATTACATACTGGTCCCAGTATCTACAAATCAAGGTAATTACACAAATCAAGGTAATGGCTTGATGAGATCATCACACACATGCTATTATGTGTTTCTTCCTTGCTCCTCTTACTCAACACCCCCCAGCTGAGATGACATCCAGCATCTTCAGCATCATTCTTGTTGTTGTTCAATTGCTAAGGCACGCCCAACTCTTTGTGACCCCATGGACCATAGCATGCCAGCCTCCCCTGTCCTCCCGTCTCCTACAGCTTGGCCAAATTCATGTTCATAGACACAATACTGCACTAGTTTATTTAGTTATTTTATTTATATCCTGCCTTTATTATTTCGACCAATAACTCAAAAGAGAGCAAGCATACACAACACATCTTTCTCTTCTGTCAGATGAGTTGGGCTGAGAGAGATGGACTGGTCCAAAGCCATCCAACTAGCTAAGGTGGGACCAAAACTCACAGTTTGCGTCTTCCTATCCTGCTGCCTTAACCACTCGGTCAAACTCCCTCTCACCAGTGACCAATGTTCCCTGGTGACCTGTGCTCCAGGGTTGTCGTAAGCATTTTAAAAAAGTCTACAAAAGTATACAACTCCAATATTAGACAAACACCAATGCTCTTCTGCTGGAAACCCCTTTTCATAGCCTATTCTATCCCTGTCTTCAGATTGCAGCCAACTCCTGGGGCAAGGCGTGGGGTGAGCACGGCTACTTCCGCATTGCCAGAGGGACCAATGAGTGCGAGATTGAATCCTTCGTGGTGGGTGTCTGGGGCCGGGTTGGAATGGAAGATATGCACCACCACAAGAAATGAGGAGACTGGATTCTGCAGCCTTGCATTATGATACCATGAAGAACGTCTTTCCTTCTGTTGGCCCTATGTTTTCTTCTTCTCCTCCTCCTCAAAGCATCTGGTATCTAGAACAGTCACAGAACGTAACGACTATGGGTTTGGCCTCCAAAGACAGCAGCCTTTGTCGTTGTTCTGGGGAAGCCTAGAACCCTCACGTGGATTTTGGACCCAGAAAGTTCTTCCTCAGGTGGTGGGGGAAAAAAAACCCTGAGAACTTCTGGAATGACTACCAAAATGCCTGCAGTTTCTTGAAAGGGACCAAGAGAAGACACCCAATTTTGTTCTGCATGGCTCAGGTGCTCACAACCAGAGTGATCCTGGAGATATCAGAAGCAAACCTTGCCAGGATTCTCTACCAAGGATGGAAAGTTGCAGGTGATCTGAAGTAACTTTCTGACTGGGAGACCAACCAACATTTTTGGGGTTTTTTTTTTTTTAGTGCTTTCTGTGATTCCACTTGACAGAACCTTCTTGGAAGTGATGACATCTCTGGTCTGACCTTCCCCAGAGGCAACCGTGGTAAAATAAAGAGTTGTCATCTTCTTGGGCCAAATTTTCAAACATCTCAGGTAGTACATCTACAGACGAGTGGATTTCTGATCCTAGCAGGCATGTGTGTAGCAATGGCCGCTGTCTCCAAAATGGCGGGCACAACTAGATAAAAGTAACCTTGCCTCATTTTATGTGTACTAAGTTCTCAAGAATAGCTATGTAGGCTGAAATCGACCCATTTGGAGAGAGACCAGATTGGGGGAGACAGGCTTGATTTTGATTCCCCACCATTGTGTTACAAGTTCTTTCTTGCCCATCTTATCTTAGAACCTAGAATCACAGAGCTTAGAGGTCTTCTAATTTAATCTCTGCTCAAGGCAATAATCCAAGTAATCGAAGTGAAGTAAGTATCTGAGATACCTTTTAGGCAACACCAGCCTTTCTCCAACAGTCCTCTTCAGATATGTTGGGCTTCTGAGCCCCATAACTTTTAACGTGGCCATCTATGGACGTGAAGGCACAAATCTCTGGAGAGCACCAGGATGAGGTCAAGCTGCCTTGTGTGTCCACCACAATGGAAGGAGGACTTCCTGTGTTTCTTAAGCTTCCTTGTTCAGCCCACCGTGAGGTGTTGCTGCTCCGAAAACAATGCAATTCCATCACGGTATTGGCAGCTGAGTGGAAAGTCCCTCAGTTGACTTTCCAAGGACAAGCTGAAGTCAGCCCCCAGGCCAGCTGTTTTAGGCCCATCTAAACTGGAAAATAGGAGGGAATTGTTTTCCTTCTGTCTCCTCTGCCTGGGTTCAACTCCCATGGATTTTTTTTTTCCAGTTCCCTGCCGCACAGCCAAACACCAACTTTTGCTCACTTCAATGATCTGGTGCACCATCCCGGCACTGATCCACAGTGAAAACTTTTATCCTCCTGCCTGAAGCCACTCTTGGTCTACTGCCTTTCCTCTCTTTCTGTCTCTCTCTCTCTTTTGGCTTTTGATGCCTGTCTTTGCACCTTCCGCGCCGGGCGTGAGACTCTCTCGCTGCTAAGCCTTCCTTGGCTTATGGGCCCTTTGTTGAGAACTTAAGGCTGTTGAAAGGGAAGGCCCTCGGCCAGCTAGGCAGGCTGGTTTTGTCCCATTCTGCAAGCTTTGCAGGCGCCAATGTCAACACCGAACGGCTGTCATTTGTGTGAAAGAAGCGGAAAAAAGCGCATTAGAAGGCGCGTGTTCACGCATGACCGAGGCGGGGAGCTTTGGAAGAAGTGCCTGTGTTAGCAGCCCTTCCATGGAGCCGGAAAACTCTTTTATGTGAGGATGAAGGGAGAAAGTGGAGCTTCCTCTCCTAATACCTGATCAAAGCAGAGATTAGGGGAATCTCAGCCTAGTTGTCCTGGTGGGGGGGAAAGGAACGGACAAGTCAAGGCTGCAATTAGAAGCTGGTCTGAAGGGCTGCTTAGCTGCATGCATTTGAAAAAAAAAGAAGAAGAACTTGATGCTTTCAACTTAGTTACTGAAAACACCCATTTTATGGATTGGAACAATAGGTGGAAAGCCCACAGGCTGGATTTGCACCCTATGCTAAGAACAATATCAAATGAAAAACAAATCCAATGAAGCATGATCCATAAAATGCAGCTGCTGGATTTGTAACAGATCTGCTGAAGCATAATTGTGGAAGCCGAGGTAGAAAATTAGCTTTTCAGGCTGAGCTTGAATCTGTCCTGTTCTAGTATATAGCTTTTTCCAGTGAGGGGCGTTTTTATGACTTTAAAAAAAAAAAAAACATTGTTTCATCTAATTGGCCTTCATTTGACAATCCAGATGAATTTCCTTCAGGTGAATTGAAACAGGGCTGCAGACATGCAACCCCCATCCATAGGCAGCCATAATTCCATTTTAGGTTGGTTTTGTAGCCACTTAGTTTGGCAAGGAGTAAGCACCTTCATGGTAGCCTAACTCTCTATTCCAGTGATGGCCCAAACTGCAACCCAAAACCCACTTATGCATCGTCGAGTGCCGGGTGGGCGTGGCCCATTGGGTGGGCACGGCTGCGGTGGTAACGGCAGACTGGGTGGGACTAAAACGTTCAATCAATTCCAACTTTGCAAGATCTTTTTTTCCCTACAAGAAGTTGAAATTGACTGATTGAATTTTTTTTTTTTTTTTTTTTGCATACGGTGGCGGAGGCCTAAAGCGAAAAGGTTTTATAAAACCCAGCTGAAGTCCTAGGACTGTGGCGACAGCGCACGTGGCCACAGAGAGGGCTCTGAGTGCCTCCTCTGGCACCCGTGCCATAGGTTCACCACTACTGCTCTATTCTGTCCATTGCTGTACTCTAGAAGTTTGGATCAATGTTTGTGTCCAAAGGGTAAAATATCGTTTCAGCTGAGCTCTGATCTGACCCTTAGGATGTACCTGTGTAGTTTCCTTGGCTACATTATGGAAGTAGCTGACAATTGACCTTTTTCAGATTTATTTTCAACTTCACAGTCTATGTCTGCAACCCTGGATGTTTTAGAAGTCTCACGTCTCCCCGGGACTAACCTCACTTAACGTCTGAATCTTCCTGCTCACTAATCAAAGTTGACACCTGAGTGAATAAGCAAATCTCCAACATAATTCCCCTCTTCCAAATTCCCCAGGTAGTAAATGTCATTTCCAAAAAAAAAAAAAAACCTTTTTTATTGGGTAAAACTCTTCATTCCTAAGAAAAGAGAAATATTGCTATCTTGGCTAAGCATGAAACATCTGCAGTTCAATTCTCCTTTCGGTATTTATTATTTTGCTTCTGTTTACTTGTTACTTGTGAATAAAGCGCATCGAAGATGTTGCAAGGATTGTGTGTGATTAGTTTCTAACCCTGTCCTAGATTCCCAGCTAAGTTTTATCTAGGTCCCTTCCTGAATTAAATGTGATGATTAGGCTAAAAGGTTTTTTTTAAAGCTTATAGAATTAGTAGTTGATGAGCTGGGAAAGTTATTTGTAAAGAATTTTTTTTTCCTTTTCTCCCTGAAGAACTACTGAATTTTTACAAAAGCATTGAAGCATGAAAATGTGATGAATATAGATTAGCATTAGATGGCAGAAGTAGAAATATTAAGAGAGAGAGAGAGAGATAATAAAGATGATAGATAGATAGATAGAGATAGTTAGATAGATAGATAGAGAGAGAGAGAGAGAGAGAGAGAGAGAGAGAGAGAGAAAGAAAAATATAGAGATGATAGAGATGAGAAAGGGAATGTATATATATATATATATATATAGAGAGAGAGAGAGAGAGAGAGAGAAAGATGAGAAAGCTAGATAGAGAGATGAGATAGATGATAAATAGATTTGATAAGGGATGTCACCCACCCCAGCTCCAGCAGTGCAAAAAAAAGTTGCAATACGTCGCAACACATCATGTGCGAGTTTGAGACCTGTGGATTAGATATAGATAGATAGATAGATAGATAGATAGATAGATAGATAGAGAATGAGAGAGAGAATAAATAAAGATAGAAATAGAGAGATATAGAGAGAGGAGAAAGCTAGATGAGATGATAGATAAATAAGAGAGAGAATGAGAGAGAACGATGATAGATAAATAGAGATAGACAATAAATAGAGACGCTACTTAAAAGAGAGTGAGCAAGAGAGAATGGGAGAGAGAAAGATCCTGGCTTGTCATAGATCGTGGATGCAATGAAAGGGAAAGCCCTATGAGCTGAGCTGGTTCCTGGTGACATACCTATGTAGCTTTCTTGGTGATTCAGATGTGCTTCTCCCCGCCTTCCTTTTAGGATGCTTTCCAAATTTTTGTACAGTTCTTTGCTGGTCACCCTGCTTGAGGCTCAGGCCGCTTTGACTTAGTGCTGCCACCTGCTGTAAATAAAAAGGGCGAAGGAAGTGAAAGTGGGAGACGTAAGGAGAGCTTCGCCTTAGGAAAATTGGCATTCGGTTCATAGTTTGCTTATTCCCTCAGGAGCGCGATAAATTTGTGATGAGGATTCCAAGCTTCGAGTTTTTCCCATCACGTCAGGGCTCCCTTCGTCAAACACAAGCAGTGGAATGCAAGGGTACATTTTCTTTGGCCGCAAAAGGGAAAGAAAGGCTAAAACTCCCGATGTGCCTGTTTTTATCCAGACTGGAATGTTTGGCTTGCAAAAAAATAAAATAAATAAAAATAGGATAAATGAAATAATTGAAAATGCCACTGTTACATCTGGATTATAATAATAATAAAGTTGGAAGGGACCTTGGAGGTCGTCTAGTCCAACCCCCTGCTCAGGCAGGAAACCCTGTGCCATTTCGGACAAATAGTTGTCCAGTCTCTTCTTAAAAACTTCCAGGGTTGGAGCATTCACAGCTTCTGGAGGCAGGTTGTTCCGCTGGTTAATTGTTCTTATTTATCAGGAAGTTTCTCCTTAGTTCTAGGTTGCTTCTCTCCTTGATTAGTTTCCATCCGTTGCTTCTTGTCCTGCCCTCAGGTGCTTTGGAGAACAGCTTGACTCCCTCTTCTTTGGGGCAGCCCCTGAGATATTGGAACGCTGCTATCATGTCCCCCCTCGTCCTTCTCTTCATTAAACTAGACATACCCAATTCCAGCAACCGTTCCTTGTAAGGTTTAGCCTCCAGTCCCCTAATCATCTTTGTTGCTCTTCTCTGTACTCTTTCTAGAGCAGTGGTTCTCAACCTTTTTAATGCCGTGACCCCCAACTGGTCATAAGTCAAGGACTACTCAACTGGTCGTAAGTCAAGGACTACTCAACTGGTGCAGCACCGTTTGCAGAACGGGACTTTTGGCGGGCTCAGCAGGGCAGAGACAGCCTGGACAATTCCTATTGGCTTTTGAAAGCCAATAGAATTAGACTCTATTCAAGAGAGTCTATTCTGTTGGCTTTCAAAAGCCAATAGAATAAAAGGGAGTAGCACAGATAAGGAAAAGGGGGAAAAAAATGGCGGACTGCGTTGTTTGGCGACCCCCGTGAAATGGTCGTTCGACCCCAAATGGGGTCCTGACCCACAGGTTGAGAACCGCTGTCCTAGAGTCTCAGCATCTTTTTTACATCGTGGTGACCAAAACTGGATGCAGTATTCTAAGTGTGGATTAGAGCAGACCACGGTGTCTTAGGAGGAACTTCAAACATGGTTCTGCCAATAAACCAAATTGCAAGGGTCACCACCAGTGAAAGCTCAGAAGCAGCTTCTTCATCCCCTGCACACCTCGCGCCCGGTTCAATTCCTCCCTTAGGAAGGGGGGGGACTTGCGAACCTGGCCCCCTTCCTCCGCATTGGAATGCTTTGCACGGGTGGAAAGTCCAGGTCTGGGAAGCTGGGCGCCGAGATAAAGTCTCTTGCCTTTGTCTCACTTCCTGTTATGCTTGGAAATCCTCCTTTGCAGCCCTGAGTGCCAAAAGAGGGCAACCCGGAGCATTGGCTGTATCTGGGGCTGTGTGTGTGTATCTGTGTGCAAATACAAAGGGATGTGTTTATGTGCATGCATGTGTGTGGGTCTGTGCATGTTTCTCTGTGTGTGCATATGTACATGTATGTGTCTACGTGTGCGCTAGTGTGTTCTGGCAGGCTGCAGAGGCCCCTTCCTCCTCTCCACTTTGTTTCAAACTGCAGGGAAGGATCTGTTTTGTTCTTGAGCGTAATTTTGAACGCTGACCACTTAATTGGGGCTCACAAAGCCAACACAAATAGGCAAGGAGTCACAGTTTGTTTGTCCCATCACTCTCTATGCACATGTACGTGCATGCAGGCCCAAACACAAACACAAGTAGTCCTCAACTTAACGAGCGCAACTGGGACCAGACTTTATGTTGTTAAGCAAAGTGGTCTTGCCTGATGTTATGATCTTTTTTGCCCAGGGGGATAAGAGGATCGCTGCCCTTGTTACGCGAACCTCGCTTTTCCTATGGACTGTGTTTGTCAGAAACTGGCTGAGAATGTGAGAAATGGTGACCAGGTGATGCTGCAACTGCCGTAAAGACATGCCAGGACGGAGTGCCCAAATTTTGAACATGTGATCGTGGGAATGTTGGGACAGTTACGTGAGGACTGGCTATAAGTCACATTTTCCCGGCCCTTTGTAACTTTGCATGGCCTCTAAACAAATGGCTCTAGGTTCGAACATTACTGCTATAACATTACATATAATGCAATGTTATTTTACAAAGATAGATAGATAGATAGATAGATAGATAGATAGATATAGATATAGATGATATAGAGATAGATAGATAGATAGATAGATAGATAGATAGATAGATAGATAGATAGATAGATAGATAGATAGATAGATAGATAGATAGTCTTAAAAATATGAGTCTTGGGTATATTCATATTCAAAATAAAAAAAACACAGATCACCAAGACTAAAAATTTATTTAAAACATAGCTTTCACCAGCATCTGCTGATATCGTCAGAGTTTAAGCCAGGATTGAAGGAGCTGAATAGACCCGTAACACGCTAGTTAGCTAAACAATTGGCTTTGCAGAGACTATAAGAACGTGTTCCCTCAATCCTGACTTAAACTCTGACGATGCCAGCAGATGCTGGTGAAAGCTAAGTTTTCGGTTATTCGGGTTTTCTCCCGCGTCAAATTGGAAGTGTCTTGGCGACGTTTTGACGAAGTCCCATTCGTCATCTTCAGGCTGGTGTTTTCGGCTTCCTGCTTCTAGGAGCAATTGCCTAGAATAACCAAACACCTACATACAAACACCCGTGAAAATCTCTCTCTCTCTCTCTCTATATATATATATATAAAACGTGATATATTTCACTTTATATATCACTGTATGTTATATGCAGTGCT